GGACCTTCTGCACTTCCATATGAATTTTGGGGTCAGGTTGTCAATTTCTTTTTTTTTTTTTAAAGGCAGCTTGGATTTTGATAGGGACTACAGTGAATCCATCAATCAGTTTGGGGAGAATTGCCATCCTAACAATATTAAAGCTTACAATCCACAAGCCCGGGATGGCGTCCAATTTATTTATGTCTACTTTAATTTCTTTTGTGTTACTGATTTTAAGCAGACGAGTTATGTGATCTAATTTATACTTTAAGAAGATTACTCAGTAGAATGAAAAAACAATTGGAGGAAAAGGGATGCTGCTTGAACAAGGGCAACAGCAGCAGAGACAAAGAGGAAAGTGCTAGTTACAGAAATAGTATGATGTAAATCAGCAGGACTTGATGACTGACTTTATGTAGAAACGGAGGGAAGAGTAAGGAACGACTCCCAGGTTTTTGGCTTGGGTGCATCGTAATGCCACCAACTGAGGGAGAAAATACTCAAGAAGCAGTTTCAGGGGGAAAGACGAAATGATCAGTCGGTACATGTTGAGCTTGAGGTTACTGCACCCCTAAGAGGAGAGATAAGATAACTGAATACTTGTCTGATCCTCAGGGGAACTGTCTAGTCTGGGAGAATCATCATATAACAGGGGAGACATGAGATGACATGAATTAACCAATGGGATCCATAAAGGAATACCAATATTTAAAGGCTGAGCTGATGACAAAAATTCCACAAAGGAGACTGAGAAGGAACTACCAGAGAAGTAGAAGGAAAAATCAGGAAGGAAGAGCTATAGGAATACAGAGAGAGTGGCCAGTAATAATAAGTTAAGGGCTGAAATGCTTCCATTGGATTCAGTGCAGTTAGAAGTCACTGGTGACCAATTGTGGCCCAATTCTGGGGACTCCCTGCCCCTTCCCCAGAGTAGTTGGAATGATCCTCCCACTTGTTAGAATATGAAATAACTGAGCCCATAAAAACTAGCAACACTGCTCCTCATGGCCTCTCACTCCCTCACCTTCCGAGTGGGCCCGTACTCTGTCTATGGAGTGTATATCTACTTTTACTTTAACCATCCCACCCCACCCCTCCACCCCTTCTACATATACACACAAACACACACACACACGCACACACATATGCCTCATGGCCTCTCTGGCCTTCTGAGACAACCTACATTCAGTCTATGGAGGGTGCATCTCTCTGAATAAATCTACTTTTACTTAACTATGGCTCACCCTTGAATTCTTTCCTGCACGAAGCCAAGGACCTTCACTTGATGGGGCACATCCCAGGGACTCGCCTGGGACCTGAGACATGACCATCCTCTCATGGCCCATTTTCCCCTGTAGCAGCAATATCCAACATTTAAAAGTCAGCTACAGAGTTAAAACGCTTAGTAGCAAGGGACCACTGTTTATAATAACTTAAAGAAATCCAAACTTCAGAACAGGAGTATGAAGCTGCATTCAGATAATAGGACAGAATAAAAATTCCTTTCTAATGCTCAGTTGAGAGGGAAAGAAGAGAAGAGAAGCTAGCAGGAGACTGTATGAAGAATAAGAACCTGTAATCCTAAAACTGCTCTAAAAAATAAAGTGTGTTCAAAAAATTTTTTTGAATTCTTGTAATCAACTACACTTCAACAAAAAATAAAATAAAAAAAAAAAAGTCACTGGAGACCTAGACCAGGGCTCTCCCAGTGGAGGGCTGAACCTTATTGCTGTGGATTGAGGAGGAGGCGGTAGCTGAGAAGATGGGGACGGCATGTAAAGATAATTCACTCTAGAAGTTTGGAGGAGAAGGGAAAGGAAGTGAAAAAGCAGTAACAAAAATGTAAAGGGAGTCAAGGGGAGGGTGTGCTTTTTTAGGATAGAAGAGACTTGGGTATGTTTATAGGCTGATTGGAAGGACTTGGCAGAAAGGGGGAGGATGAGGAATAGAGTGTGGTCCATGTGGAGCTGGAGGAGCCACTGAGAGAAGGAGCAAGGAGGTGAGTGGATTCAGAACAGCGCTTCTCAAATTTTAACCTGCATACAAACCCCGTATCTCACGTCTCCCCTCCTCTCTCCATCTTCCCAGCCACCATCCTGGTCCAAGTCCAAGTCCCCTGCATGTCTCATTTCTCCCTCTGAACACCTGAGCTGAACTTGAGATGCTCAACATTGGGATGTAGGCTCGGTGGTGAAGAGGCCAGGATGGGGCTAACTGAACACAAGAAAGTAGCCCAGGCCAGCGGCCTTGGGGAACTCAGAAGATGGGCAGAGGGCAAGAGAGGCCTGTGTGGGATGCTCAAGGGTGGGGGATTTCAGAAGAGGCGGTTCAAGGTGTGAACCCAGAGAAGATGGCTGAGGCCATGATGAAGGCCACTGAAAAGATCCAGGAAGGGCATTGGAAGGTCTGTCACATGGATGAGCCGGACATTAGGACCAGCCTAACTAAGGTCTGGAAACTCAACTCCTTGATAGATGAAGAGGGTGACAGGGACGGCAACAGAGCAAAGTGATGAGAAAGGGCAGAGTAAAGCCAGGTTTTAGGAGTCTCAGAGAAGGAGAAAATTACATATGTACATAGGAAAAAGACCCTCCAAAATGTGAATGATGGTTGTCCGTGGGGGTGGGGAGGATTACAAGTAATTCTGATTTCTTCCTTACACTTTCTTGTTTTGTCCTCCAAGTTTTCTACAATAAGCTTTAAAAAATAAAAAGAAAGAAAGAAAGAAACTAAAAATACAAAGAATAACAAAAGCCCCCATTCATATCATGTAGAATTTGTCACTGTAAACATGCATAAGTCCCATTTAACCACCTTCTCTTCTCAGACAAGCATGATCGCTTGGCTTTTCATTTTATATACATGTATATACATATACAAAATAGAATCTGGTAGAGTTTGTGTGTGATTGTTCGACTTACAGGGAGGAACTGTTCTAACAATCAGGGAGGAAAAAGCCTTTATAAGACAAGGAGGACTTGCACAGGGATTAGAAGCCTGAACCCCCTTCCCAGCTGAGCAGCCCAGCCTCCAGTTTAAGTGTACTGGACCACACCTGATTGTTAAGTGCTCCAGGAAGAGAGAGAATTACTATTTGTATTTCTCTGGCTAGGTTTCAACCCACTCTGTTATCTCTCAGGTCTTTTTATCCCTCAGAAATCTGGGGAGGCAATCACTATTTCCATTCGACATATGGGGAAACTGAGGCCCCGGGGAACAGTAGTGAGCTGTCAGGGTGTCACAGTGAGTTGGTGGAGGACAAGGGACTAGTGCTCTGGCCTGGGGTTCTGCCCAGAACCCCAGAACCCAAAGCCAGTGTGCAGACGGGTGGGGCGGAGGCAGGGGACACTTGGCGGCTCAACTAATGGACTTTGGCTGCTTGACAATAAGGAAGGGAAATAGCAATAATTTCAGGCCACCAAGGCTGGACCATGGCCAGGAAACAAGTGGGCAGCTCCCTCCTCAGAGCCCCCAGAGAGCAGGCCCACTCCCTGGAAGGTATGTCTTCCCTGTCCACCTCCCACACTCAGGAGCAGCCTTCCCAGTTAAATAGATCTGATTTCAAGTTTCAGCTCAACCATTGGGATATGCTGTGTGCTCTTTGAAAAGCCCCTTCATCCTTCTGGGCCTCAATTTCCTCCTCTGTAAAATGGAGCAATAATCTTTAACTCTCAGTCTTGTTCCAAGGATATAAAAAGAACCCTCATTTATGCATCTGAAAGCAAAGTCATTTAGAAGGTCTGGGTCCCCAGCCTAATTCCAGATGGCCCCAGATGGGCTCAGTATCAAGGGGACTGCCTAACACTGACTGATAGAGAAGCTTCATGTACACACACATGGGAGGTTTGACATTGGCTTTGCAGTGGCCAGACATGCTCTCCAGGGCAGCCCCTGGGAGATGGACTTGGTCATTAGTAAACTGTGTATGCCTAATATACAAGGCACACGCATTCAGTGGACATCTCATGTTAGCTGTGTCAAGCCAGCCCCTGCCCTCAAAGCCACTGACCAATGAGGTAGGGGATGCAGACTGTGAACTAATGATGCCCAGATATCACATAAGTGCCCCCTAAAGGACTGCTCTGGGGGCCAAGAGAGCCCGGGCAGGCAGCCACAGCCTAGCCACACTGGAGAACGTGGCCACCAAGACCCACTTACTCCACCACTTCTGTCTGGACGCTCTTGGGTGAGTCTTTTTCTAGATGCTGAGGATGAGACAAAGTAGGACTCGGGTCATCCTGGCACTTAAAGGGCCACGGTAACCAACAGCCAGGAGTAGTAAGGTTCCTATTATGTGCTCTTTGTCTTTAAAGATTCTCTAGAGGGTTTTCAATGCTTTTTCTTATCTGATTTTTATATCTCATTTTGTCTCACCACGACCTTAGGAGACAGGAATTATTACCCTTGGTTTCCTGATAAAGGAACAGAGACCTCCTAACCCCCAAAGCCACCCCACTCCTACCCTGACACACACACCCATGCGGGCACACATGCCTTGCTCAGTGTGGGGGACAGATGACCTCCAGGCCAGGGCAGGGAGGAGAGGTGATTTGCCTGAGGTCACACAGCAAGCAGAGGACAGACCCTTGTCCCCCAGTGCTCATTCACCACCCACTGCTACTCCTCCCCATCCTCTAGAAAGAAGTGATTCCCAACCTTCACCCTGGGGCTTTCCTGTCCAGTTGCCCACCAGATTAGGACAATCACAGCTAACGTGCATCCGGTCCCCATCTCACTCCCTAGCCCGGACGATCGAGACTCCTATAGGCCTCACTTTCCATCTGTAAAATGGGCATCACTGGAGGAGCAGGGCTGAGAGTGGGGGAGGCGGGTTGGCCGGGCGGACGCGGGTGGGTGGGGCCAGCACTTTGACTCAGCTAGGCGGGCCAGGAAGAGCTGCCCAGCCGGTCAGACCGGCCCAGGATGCAAACGAGCCGCCAGGGCCCTCCCGGGGCCGGGCCGCCCGAGTGGTGACGGGAAGGGAGGCCGGCCGGGCGCCGGGAGCCCAGGGTTGGAGGCGGGAAGTGGGCGCGGCGCGGGCTCTGCAGAGCCCGCGGCGGAGGCGGCGGACCAGGATGGGAACGGGGCTGCCCGGCCGCCCGCGGCGTCTGGAGCCCCGCTGAAGCGCCACGGAGACGCGGAGACGTCGCGCTGGGGCCGAGATGTGCCTGCGCCGGGGTGAGCCGCGGAGGACAGCTCGGGACTTCCGAACCCGCCCCAGACCCTCTGGTAGGGGCGGAGCACTGTAGTAGGAGCCCGGAACCCCGGGGGCCAGGCTGCGTTCTCTGCGGGCCACTTTCCGCTCTGGGCCTCAGTTTCCCCAGCACTGAGCTGGAGGGAGGAGGGCTGCTGGTATCTTCTCGAGATGAAGGAGCACTTAGGCTCCTCGCCCGTCCCCACTTTCTTTTCTTGCAGAGGAGGGACCCCAGGTGGGAAGAGAGCCGCCCGCACCTTGCTCAGAAGGGAGGGCAGAGGGAGGGGGATTCAGAGCCTAGGGAGTACTGAGGTAGAGGCTGCCTGCCATTAGCTCCCTCGACTTGTAAAGGACTCCCGCCTCCATACCCTCCACTCCCTCAAACCAGGCCGGGTGGGAAAGGCCATTGGCAAACAGGATCCAGACAGAGGAGTGGGACTGATGTGTCCCCTTCCCCTCGCTTCCTGGTCACAGTGATGCTGCTCTTACGCAGCAGACAGACCTGGAACGTCTCCACTCTGTAGCCAAGAGACCTTGTGAGCTTCAGTTTCCTCATCTGTAAAGTGGTGAGGGTAGCACCACCTCCTAGGACGATGGTGCCAATGAAGTTAGCTCCTAAGAGTAAATGTTTACCATTGTGCCAGCCACATTGCTAAGTGCTCCGTGAATGGTCACATAAAAACAGAGAAGTCAAAGACTGTCCTGTGACTCTGTCCAGTGCTCCAGGGACAGCCCCACGCTGGCGCTGTACCTCCATTGGACCAAGTCTCGATCCCGAGATGCTGTTGTTCATGAGCCCAACCCTGAGCGGGGTGCCATCTGGGCTCCCAGGTAGGTGGGTGGATGGGGTAAGGTGGGTCAGGCCCCTGGGACGAAGCTGCCATGCCCCTTCCTGTTTGGCCAGAAGTTAATCTTCATGACGCCATTCCAGCTCCACACTGCCCGTGGTGTGCCCTTTGCTTCTCCTCCACCTGCTGCAGCTCCTGGGGGTCCTGCAGGTTCCAGGGATCCCAGAGACCCAGCTAGACCAACCCCTTCCCATTTTACACGTGGGGAATCTGGGGCCCAGAAGGGAGGGAGGCTGGTGCAAGATCACACAGACACGCTGTGACTGAGTAGCCCCGTCCCTCCCTGAGGACCTCCTCTTGGCACAGGGCCCCCAAGAACATCCAATCTAGGGATTTCTTCTTTCTTTCTCTCTGCTGCAAAACTCCCATATATGAAATATGACCCAACACTTTCTGCCAAAGTTGAGGACACTAACGTCTAGGAAGGGACTCACAGGTACCACAAGCAACAGCTAAAGGAAGAAGAGGGGATGTTTAGTTCTAGGGGCGAGGCCAGACTTCCAGTCTCACAGAGCTGGCTAGAGTGAGGGGGCCAGTGTGCCCAGGGGTCCAGCGTGGTGTGTGTCAGGGAAGAGCCAGGACCCAGAGAACAGATCTGGAACAGCTGGGAGGATGGCTCCCAATTCCTGGGGATGTGTAGATAGGGGCTGAGCAGCCACTTGGACACTCAGAGGGAATCTGCATCTGAGTCCCTGATGTTCTTGTAACCCTGGCTTCCCCTGCTTACCTTGTCCCTGCCCAGGGTCCCTGCACCCAGAGCTTGCTTTTCCCAGCACCCCTAGGGTGTGCCCCACTTTCCCATCCCCTCCTCATGGGATCCTCTTTCCCTGCTGGGAGACAAGGATTATTCTTCCTATTTTACAGATGGGGAAATGGAGGCTCAGAAGCTTGAGTTTCCTGCCCTGAGTCAGTTCAGCAATTGTGAGTTGAGTATCTACTGTGTGCCAGGCTCTATCCACCAAACTGAATCCTGAGCAGGACCTGATCCCTGCCCAGTGAATGAGGGGCTCCTTGGGGCCTAGACAGTGCCTGTCAAGCTCTGTATGGTAATTCAAGGCCTGGCATGGAGCAGGTACTCAGTGAACACTGGTATAACAAGTACATAGATGCAATAATCAGTGGATGGGAAGCTTAGTGGAAGGATCATGGATCTAGAGCTAGAGACCTGGATTCCAATCCTGGCCCTGCTGCTCATGACCTTGAACTCTTTAACAAGGACTGCTACCCTTTATTAAGTCCCATTTGTGTGCTTTTCCAACCTTAGAGTTCCAAGGACTCTCATGAAATCACTGTGAACCCCTTTTCCTGATGAGGAAACTGAGGCTCAGAGAAGACAAGTTACTGGCCCCAAGTCACCCAGAAATAGATTTAGAACCAAATGTCCATCACCCCTGCCAGGGCCTCACTTTCCTCCTCTGTCTGGCAGAATGAGCACCACCCATGGCCCTGACATGCCTGTCCCTTACAGATGGCCTGAGTGTGGGGGACTTCCAGAAGGTGCTGATGAAGATGGGGCTGGTGCTGGTGGTGCTGGGCCACGTGAGCTTCATCGTGGCGGCTCTACTCCATGGCACCATACTGCGCTACGTGGCTGCCCCCCACAATGCTGTGGCTCTGCAATACTGCGTGGTCGACATCCTCTCTGTCACTTCCGCCATCCTGGTATGGCCAGGCTGGGAGGATGACTTGGGGGAGGGGGATGGAGGGAGCTGGGAAGGTCTTTGATGAGGCCCCTTCCAGAACCTGGGGTGGGCAGGCAAAGTGCCCTGAGCACTAACCCCTTGCTAACCCGCCACTTATCAACTCCACAAGTCACTCACACTCTCTTTGCCTCAGCTTCCTCATCTATAAAATGGGGATGGTAGTAGTGTCCATCTCAGAGGGTCCTGATGAGTACTGATTGAGATCATCCACATAAAGTGCTTAGCACAGTGCCTGGTACCTGGTTTGCACTCACTACTGTGAGCTAGGATTATTATTACAATAGGGAAATAGTCAAGGCACCACTAGACAGAAGAAAGGAACATCAGCTCAGCTTGGGAGGGTTCACAGAGGTGGAGGCCCTGAGGTGGATATGATGGATGAATAAGAGTTCACAGATAGGCTGCAATGACCATAGCCCAGGTATGAGTTATGCTGGGGCCAGCAGGTAGAAGAGGGGCCCGGGATAGCACTTCGAATACAGAGACTGGCAGAGGTGTGGACGTGGAAGTGGATAGAGTTTGTTCTGGAGACCAAAAAAAAACCAGTTTGGCAGGAGCTTAGCATTAGGCCTGGTCTATAGTAAATGCTCAATAGATGGTAGCCATGGTCATGACCAGATGTCAGTACCTGTTTGATGAATACATGATTGAAGGGGCCCGGTATTCTCAAGTTCATAAAGCCCTTTCCCACCTGTCAGCAGAGGTGGCCACAGGCTTTGGGGAGCATCCACACATCAGTGTCTGAGTCCCATCCCTGCCACCTTCTGGCTGAGGGACTTATATCTTTCTCTAAGCCTGTTCCCTTCCCTGCAAAATGAAGCTCAGACAGCCTGCTGATCCCATGGTTGGGTGAGTAAGGATCACAGGCCCCAGCAAGTAGGAGAGCCCTGGTTGGTGGGACAGAGCTGGGCTGTGCAGATGTGTGCGATGTCGCCTGAAGTTACTATTATCACTGTTCGTTATTCTCACCAGCCTTGTGAGGAAAGCAGGGAAGGCAGTGAGTTCGGGGTTAGGGGGTCCACCAGGGATGGGCTCTGAGCTGGACAACTTTAGCTGTGTCCTTATTTCCTCAGTTAATCCCAACATGGGGCCATTATTGCCCCATTTTACAGAGGGGGAAACCTAGACTCGGATTCACCCAACCTCCTGCTGATACAAAGAAGCCAAGATGCATTTGAAACAATCTCTGACTGACACCAGTGTCCTTTCCTTGAGCTCATCTTGCTGAGTGGAGCTTACCCTAGAGAGTCTGAGGCACTCACCTGTGGCTGCACAGTGGATTAAAGGCATTGCTGGACCCCACATCATCTCACCTACCTCCCACGGGTCCAGCCCATGCCTGGTACAGTGAGGGAACTGAAGGAGGAGGCCTGGCTGAGTGGAGCCCAACAGATCTAGAGGGCAGCTGCTGGGCCAGACAGTGGGGTGGGCCCATCTCTTGGGACTGGGGTGCTTCGGGAGGCCCGCAGTGGGAAGAACCAGAGCAGGTAAAGAGGAACAGGAAGGGCATTCCTGAGAGGGCACTGTGTAGGTAGCATCAAGGGCAGGCTCTGTGTGGGTGTCCATATCCAGGGCAGTGAGGGAGAAGACTGGCCCAGGGTGGAGTTGAGAAACTCACAGGACTGGGGCCGGGTCACTGTGAGTAATAATTTAAAATTTTCCCAGGGATTTTGAATTCTATGCCATAAGGTGTCCTGGTTTGTTTTCCAATAACAATTTTGTTTTTAGTTCCTTGTCAGTTATTTAGTTTCTTCCGAGATCTTTTCCACTCCAGGGAGATGTGTCATATATCCTGTGACATGGCCCTGCGGCCCTGGGATACACAGGTCCCTGTTTGAGACACACAGCTGCAGGCAGTAGGGAGTCATGGAAGGTTGTAGGCAGGAAGCAGTTGTGTTTAGAAACGTTACTTCAGGTCTGAACCACGAAGAGGCAGTGCCTCCATGCAGATGGAGGTAACTCAGCCACAGCTAAGCAGAGGGTAGGGGTTTGGAGGACTGGAGTTGGCATTGGTGAAATCTTTATTGGAGAGTGGCCCTCACCACCACCACCACCACCACCCCGCCTACTCTCCTCCAGCAGGGGGAGTCAGGGCTGACTTTCGCCTCCTCCACAGGTCATCACCTCAGGCATTGCAGTCATCGCGTTGTCACGCTACCTCCCCAGCATGCCCCTGGTATGTAGCACCTCCTGGGATGGGGCTGTAGGGGTGGGGGCAGCAGCCACCCAAGGGCCTGGCCTGCTTGGAGGGGATGATGCTGACCCCCTCGGGGGGCCAGATCCACCCATGGGGCCAAGCCTGATGTCCACTGACCAGTGGCCTCCCCCATCCAGCGCTGGACAGTGTTTAGCTCGAGCGTGGCCTGTGCCCTTCTCTGTCTGACCTGTGCTCTTGGCCTCTTGGCCACGATCGCCGTGACCTTTGCCACCCAGGGACGGGCACTGCTGGCCGCCTGCACTTCTGGGAGCCCCGAACTACTGGCACTGGCGCCCGACTGTCCCTTCGACCCCACACGTATTTACGTGAGTGCCTAGGCCGGGGGTAGGGGGGACGCCCAGGTGCTCATCAGAGGTGGGAGGGGTTCTTGGAGTCCCACACTCTAGTCCCCAACCCTAGGCAGCCATCTCTGCCCCCTGTCCCCTCACAGAGCTCCAGCCTGAGCCTCTGGGGCATCTCATTACTGTTCTGCATGGCAGAGAGTGTATTTGCCGTGCGCTGCGCCCAGCTCGCCCACCAGCTGCTGAAACTGAGGCCCTGGTTGGGGAAAAGCAACCACCGCTTGGTAAGGCCTGCCACTCCCCAAGTCCTGACTTCCCATATTTCCTGGGAACCCCTGAACATATTCCTCTGCACAGGGCCTTCACTTTGAGAACTGGGTCAATAGTTTTCTCCTCGGGACCTCAGAGAGGTCATATCTCCCAGCTAAGTCATACAGCTGACACCCGGCTCTCCCAAGTCCCAGGCTGAGTCTTGGGGAGGGAGAAGGGTAGCTGGGCTGGAATTGGGGGCACTCCAAGGATATGGCCTGGCTCTTGCACAGTGGGGAGTAGTGATGTCCCTTTGCCCCAGAGATCCTACCATTGCCCCCTCCTCCTTATTTCTGGGTGTCCCAGACCCAGTCCCAGCAGGCCTGGCAGCCTCCTGTGTCTCTGCCAATGCAGGAGAGCCCGGAGCCCGTGGAGGTCCGAGACCTGCTGAGTTACACCAGCTCTGAGCCACTGACCCTCTGACAGCTGATGCCTCACCCAGGCGCCCTGGCCACTGGGGCCCTGCAACCAAGTCTGCACTGTGATCAGGCCAGGATTCCTGGAGCCAGCCAAGAAGGCTCAATGGCCACTCCAGAACCTGGGTGGGGCTTTCAACTCCCTCCCCCAGCCACCCAGCTCACTGCACTGAAACAAGACTTTATTCTGAAGTTATTAAAAAGAACAAAGATGCTCCACATGGATGCATGCAGCTGGGGAGAGGGCTCGGCTGGGGGGCCTGTGTTTCTTTCCTACACAAGACACTGTGGGTGAGGCTCTAGGTGTGTCTGCCCATCTGTCTGTGGGCCTGTGTGTGTGGCTGAAGAGGCAAGATTCACACAGGGGTCAGTGGGTTTGTTTTCATCCAAGTGCTGAGATACAAGCAGGGCTGCATGGGACCCACGGTAGGGGGCGGTCTGGAACCAGGAGATTTTCCTTTTGCATCATGGCCTCCAGGCCAACAGGGGCTGGAGCAGGAAGGGTTGAGGCCCTCCTGCAGGGAAGGACAGCGCAAGGAAGGTTTTTCCTCCAACCCCCCCACACCTCTGGAATCTTTCTCTCCCCTCCAAATAAAGACAGGCTCCTTACCTGGGTATTATTCCCAGCTCCACCCAGGCTGTCTGCAGGGGTCGGGGTGGAGGTAGGGGAAATCTCCCCTGGTTGAGGGAGGGAAGTTTGGCCTCATGACTGTGTGTGTGTTGGGGACAGGGGCAGGGCGTGGAGGGGAGGGATGGCTGAAGTTCTGAGGTTTAGGTAAGGGAGGGCTGACTCTGAGGGACAGACCAAACCAGAGCATGTGCCTCCATCATTGCCGAAGGGAGATATTGCCTCTTGGATTGGGAGGGTGCTAGCCACTTGCTGGCTTGGGCCGTGGGGGGCCTTCAGGGTTGCTTTCTCCATATGCCCCGCAGAGTGCAGACCCTGGGGGGTGGCAATCTGACCCCCAGCCTGGATAGACACAAGGGCGAGGAAGCTGAGTGCCGGGAGAGGGCCAGTGAAGGCGGGGAGGGGAAACCTGGCTCCTCTCGCTCAGAACTGGGAGGCGCTGCTAGGGTCGCACTGCAGCAGACGCACGATGGACGGGTCGCTTTTGGCCCCGCGGATGAACTCCTCCAGCGACAGCTTGCCTGCGGGAGAGGGGAGCAGTGATGAGAGAGAAGGCGGCAGCAAAGCAAGGGGAGGCAGAGCAGAGCCGCGGGAGAGGAAGGGGGAGTGGCTCCCGCCCCGCCCCGCCCCTGCGTCCTTACCGTCGTTATTTGTGTCCATTTGGCGGAAGATCTTCTCAGTCCTCTTTTCTGGGGTCGACTCATCCTCCGGCATCTTCATCACGGACGAAACCATCTTGTAAATGGCCTGGGGGGCGGGAAGGGAAGGCAGTGAGTGAGCGGAGCCTGCCTGAGCCTTCCACCCCCAACTTTCTAAAATGCCGCCAGGTGCGCTGACGGGCAAGATGAGGCCGAGAGAGGGTGACAGGGGCTTGGGGCACTGGAGGGGTTCTGGAAGGAGTGACTGGGAAGGCTTCCCAGAAGGGGCTATTGGAGAGAGCCCTGACCAAATTCCCTTGGAACTTTCGATGGGAAACGAATTGCTGGCAGAGGGATCTGCATGTACAAAGGCCCCGAAGCGGGAAGCTCCGAGTAGGCGCAGAGAATTTGGGGGTGGCTGAATGCAGAGGATCAGGAGACATGGTTGGAAGCCATCGGGGCCCAGATGGCGAAGGGTCAGGAACGCCGGGCCTAGGAGCTTGTGCCCGGGGTCTCAGGTTTCGGGGTGACTACCAGATTAGGAGAGCTGCTTCTCAGAAACTCTGGGGCTCCGGGCGGCGCGAGCTGGATGGCCCACAGGGGGCGCTGGGCGGAGAGGGTGGCGCTGGGCTGCGATGCCACTGTGACTGGCAGGGGGCGCAGAGCAGACCTGAGGGCTGGAGGGGCGGAGGCAGCTGGGTCCACCGGGACGAGGGACATTATGCATATAAACGTGTATAAGCATCTGCTGGGGGCGGAGACAACCTGGACTCTGCCGGGCCGAAGACTGCAGCCTCCAGATACAGGAGCTCTGGAGGCGCCTCGTAGGAGGGGTTTTTGCGGTAAATGTACACAGAGAACATAGGGCTTGGTCTGTGGGCTGCGTCCCAGCACCCCGGAGTTCAAGAACCAGACCAGTCCCCTCAATCTGCCAGCATTCTGCTACTGATGCCTCCTCCAAGAAGCTTTCCTTCTCCCATCCTATAAACCTCCCTAGCCCCACATCCGGCTTCGGCCTCCACAGTGGTCTCCTCTGGCCTCTCTCCCCTAGACCTTCCCCACGCTGCCTCTGAAATCTCTTTCCAAACACAGTCTCCACCGCCATGTCCCCCGCCCAGGGGACGCCCCCTCATTCCCATCATACACAGGCCTCCCTTCAGGCCCGCTGTGCACCCAGCTCCTTCTGGATGCTGCCCCACGCTCCTTCTGCTGCCTCCCACTCCTCCTTGGGGCTGGGCTTACACAGAGCTTTCTTAGGGAAGTCTTCTCTGATCCCGGCTGGGTCAGGGCCCATGTGCTACCCTAGAGCCTCCTTTGGGGACACCTCTGGAAGTAATTGTGCCTTTGAAGGATTGCTCCTCACCCTAGCAAACAGATAGGGACCACAGACATCTAGCTAGTGCCCATATCCCCAGAATTTAGCACAGTGCCTGGCATTTGGCAGGGACTCCCCTGTTTAAAAGCGATTGGCACCTCCCACTGCCCTCTGTTACTGAATCCAAACATTTGGCCCTGGGCTTTCAAGGCACTTCACACTCTGGTCCCTGTGACGTCTCATCAGGCCTCCCCTGGTAGGTGATTCTGCCACAACCAAACACCCCTGGGCCTTTCAGGTTTCCCAGCATATAGCCTCTGCCTGGAACTATAACACTAGCTACCATTTACAGGCACTATGTAGGAGGTACTTTACATACATTATTCTCAATCTCACAACAGCCATGAAGAGCAGGTATCAAGATCCCCACCTTTCAGGTAAGACATCGAGGCTCAGAAAAGGAATTGATGACAGAGACTGTATTAGAATCCCCTCCCTCTTGGCTGCTGGATAGATGCTTATGGAGTGCTGATGACTCCTCAAAGCGGGGACTTTGAAGTAAGGGACCAGGAGTGGCATCTGGTTCCACTACTTACTTGCTGTGTAGCCTTGGATAAGTACATAACCTCAGTTTCCTCATCCGTAAAATGGGGGTAATGATCTCTCTCTCTCTCTCATTAGGATTGTCTGGAGTATTAAATGAGATAATGTGTGTAGTTGGCTACAGTAAGTAAACAACAGCTCAAATTATAATCATTACTCATCCACCACATCCTCAGATCTTCCCTGCCCTTCAGCGTCCTAGACTCCCAGCTGTCACCTTAACACCCCCATCTCCGAGCTGGTCAGTGTGGTCTGGACACTTGTCTCTCCCAGCAGAGTGGGAGCCCCAAGAGGCCGAGGTGCAGTCTCTTCCCTTCCAGTGTGCCCGCCCCCTGACACAGGGCTGCATCCTGAGAAGGACTGAGCGAGTAACTTAGAGAGTGACTGCTCCTTTTGTGACAACCCTTCTCCTGGGCCTCCTAATTAATTGTCTGGAATTGCTACTCACTCATTGTTTCACTGGAGCTGACTTGTAATTAATCAGTCACTTGGGTTTGCAGAGTTCTGTCTGCACCTACCATCTGGAGCTGCTGGACTGCCATGAAGGAAATCAGGGTCTAGATAGCAGAGGCCAGCCAGGAAGGGTTCCCGAGGATGCCCAAAGAATGGGGCTGGCTAGACCAGTGCCCTGGGCTTGGCACTTCCAGCAAGGGTGAGATTTACCAGTATACACCAGTGCAACCACACTAAATGGTAAAACATGAACTTCCTCCAGATTGGTTGGTATCCAGCTGCTGCCCAATCCCTGAATGATCATCCACCATCCTGGCTACCTCCACCCTTCCACCAGGACCCCCAGAACTCCCCACTATCCATCAGCAGTTAATGCCTGGCCCATGGGAGTCGTTGACAAACTTTAAGACTTTCCCACTAGTGACAGTCATAGGGAGGGCACCACATCCCAAGACAGCCCATTCTACTCTAGCTAGAGAGAGCAGACCCAGAAACCATAGTCAAGAGTCCACTAGGGGCTGGATGAGTTGGGAGGGGGAACAGTCAGCAGACCTGAGGAACCAGACGGGAAAGGATTCAGAGAGGCAGAAGGCAAGGAAGCAAGACCGTGTGCAAAATGGTGCAGCAAGATTACACAGGGCACATTCCGAGGACGTGGAAAAGGCCATTCTGGCTAGAGCAGAGAATGTGCGGAGGGAAAAATAATAACTGACGATCACTAATGTTTACTGAATATCAATTATATTCCGGGCCCTCTGCTGGAGTCCCTGTCCTGCTTCATATCCACAGTAGCCTTGGAAGTAGGGGGTTAACATCTTCACTTTACAGGTGAAGAAACAGAGGCTCAGGAAAAAAGTGAACAAGAAACTGGATAGATAAAATAGAATCAGAGCCCTGATGGACCTCAATGCTGCTGAGGGGAGGGGGCACCTCTGGAAGTTTTTTGAGATAAAGCTAATATAGTCTTATTTAAATCTGTACTGAGAAAGGACATTCATATCGGGTCCTCAAATCTCCCCGTGAGATCAGCCTCACCATTCCCATTTTACAGATGAGCAATCTGAGAGTTGAAGCCAGACCCCTTTCAAGAGGCAGTATTGAGTGGTGGCCAATTTGAACTTGACTCCACTTAGATGCTTTGTGATCTTGGGCAAGCTACTTCACCTCTCTGAGCCTCATGGGGTTGTAAGGATGCACTCAGTTCACGGGTATAAGCATCTCACTCAGTACTAGGCTCTTAGTCTGCTCTCAATCAGTTAGTTGGAAGGTGGCTGGGTACGCAGATGGAATGTGGGCAGTGGAGCCAGGTGGCCCATTCACAGGCTGGGTGGCCTCAAGCAAATGTCTTTACCTCTCTGAGCATTTGTTTCTGAGTAAATGAGGATCAATGAAACATAACTGCCTGTACTCTGCAGAAATGTCAAGTCTTGAAACACAAAGAAAGGCTGAAGAACTGTTACAGATTAAAGCGGCCTAGAGAGATATGATGACTAAATGCAGTGCGTGATCTCGGACTAGGACAAAAAATGCTGTAAAGAACATTATTGAGACAGTTGGCAGAATTGGAATATGGTCTGTAAGTTAGATAATAGCATTGTTTCTATGTTAAATGTCCTGACTTTGATAATCATATTATGAGTTATATAAGAGAATGTCCCTGTTCTTAGGAAATCTATCCTGATATATTCAGGGGTAGAGAGTCATGTGCAGAACAACAATAAAACATTACACACACGCACACGCACACGCACACACACACAATGATAAAGCAAATGTGGTGAAATGTTAATTGGTGAAGCTGGGTAAAGGGTATAGAGAAGTTTTCTCAACTTATTTTAAGTAGGAAATTACTTCCTATTAAAGACTTTTTTTAATGGGTGGTAAGAGTAGCACCTGCCACTACCTACCCACAAGGACTGTCGAGAGGATGAAAAGGGACGGTGGGTACAAGCTGCTGGGCCCTGGGCCTGGCATTCTGAGGGACCCACCTGCACGATCTCCAGCATCTCCTCGCGGCTGATGTAGCCGTTGCCGTCCAGGTCATACATGCTAAAGGCCCACATGAGCTTCTGCTCCAGGCGGCCACGTGAGGTCACGCTCAGTGCAATGATGAACTCCCGGAAGTCGATGGTGCCATCGCTGTTGGTGTCAAAAGTGCGGAAGACATGCTCGGCGAACTTGGAGGCGTCACCGTAGGGGAAGAAGTTGGCGTAGATCTTCTTGAACTCATCCACGTTAAGGATGCCTGTGGGGCAGTCCTTGAGGAAGCCCTTGTACCACTCCTGCAGCTCCAGCTCCGAGAACTCCGTGTTCTCCCGCAGGTCTTGCAGCATCTCTGGCCGCAGCTTGCTGTTCTGCTTGCCCATGGCAGCCAAGCCAAGTCCTACCTGGGTCCCCAAGGGTGTCAAAGGACAAAGAGGAGTGGTCAGATCCTCCTGGCCCCTTGATCCCACTCCAGGAGGACCCCCAGGCATCAGTCACCCTGGCCTCTCTTTTGACCCAGTGAGAGATAGGAGCTGGCCCAAGGTCACAGCTTGCACACACCCTGGCACCCTGCCTCTGTGTGAGCTTCACACCACTTCCCCAGACCTTCTACTCCCCAGGGAACAGACCTGGAAACAGAGGAAGAGAAGGGAGTTCACCTTTACTGAGGCCCTTCTCAGCACCAGCCACTGAGCCCTCACAGGTGTACACTGTTTCACCCTCACGAAGTGAAGCCTGGGGATTAGGCCATTTTACAGATGAGAAGGCAGGCTCAGGGAAGTGAGGTGACCTGGTTCAGGACACAGAGCTATGGAGCGACAGGGCTGACTCCCAGAGCTGCCCAGGGAAGTACAGAAAAGCCTTCTGGTCCTCCTCCCTCCTACCCACTGCCCCCTCACTGCCTCACAGAAGCCTGTTCACATAAAATACACCTGCAGCCCAGACATTGACCTGTTTGCCCTCCCGCACACATGGGCCTGACAAGGGGCAGCATAAGGTAAGTGTTCGTCTGGGCACCAGAGCCAGACCACCTGGGTTTGGATCCCAGCTCTGCTTCTTACCAGCTATGTGACCTTGGGCAAATTCCTTAAACTCTCTCTGCCTCATCTGTAAAGTGAGGGTAATGGTATCTACTTCATTATTGTTGTGGGGATTAAATTAGTTAATACATGTGAAACACTTAGAAAGATGCCAGACATATAAGTGCTACCTGAGTGTTAAAATAAATAAAAACGATTTACATGTATCCAGATGCCTCAAGATTCATGCACAATAAGCAAACGAATATATATTGATACATATTATGCTACACAGCTCACCACATCCACACACTAGGTCCCATGTCACTCACATACCAGCACACACCCACCCAGGGTCAGCATGCGTCCACACATGACAACATTCTCTCTGCTCCACAACTCACACGTACTGGCATGGCACCAGGCACGCACAACTCCAATACCCTATGCATCAAGATAATCAACCCATGACCCCACATGTCTCACACATGCCATCACAAGCCAGCTCTCATGCTGACACCTTTCACATAGCCAGCTGCACGTGAGACCCTCAGGCACCCTTGCCACCTTTCTTTCTTTACCCAGGGATGCTACCAGGTGCCAGGAGAGGGAGCTGCAGCCCTTCGCAGACCTCCAAGTGTGCCCTCTTCCAGGGAGACCCCCTAGCCAGTCAACCCTCCCCCAACACTTACCCTTCATCTAGTCCAGAAAGGTCTCCTCAGTGCAGGAGGTTAGACTGGAGGGCTGAGGGGGAAGCATTGGAGAGGAGACAGCCAGGCAGTTCTGGGCAGGGATGCAGGGGTGTGTGCAGGTGAATCGCCCCCTAGCTTGGGGCTGTGAGACAGAGCGGGGTGGGGGGGGGTTTCCTTGTGTGTGCACTAAGCTCTGTGTACATGTGGGTGAGCCTGTGTGAGTGCATGTGCTCATGTATGCATGTGTGTCGCTGGTTTCCGATTGCATTTTTCTCCCCGTGTTTCAATCCATATCTGTGCAGGTACATATATGTGTATGTGATTAGGTATGCACCCATCACAGTGTGAGGGGGTTGTGCCTGTGTGGTCATTTGGGGGACCTGTGTGTGTCCACAGCAGTGTGTCACATGCATTTTTCTGTAAGTTAGTGGCCCTCCTTTCTAAATCAGCCTCTTCTGCCCTAGGCTGAGGACCCACTGAACAAGTGTGTGGGAGGGGACTGAGAAACGCCTGGGGCCAGGGCAGCAGAGTGTGTCCCTTAGTCCCCTCCTCAAGGTCCGAGGAACTGGGTCATCTGGGCGGGGGCAGAGAGACATTCTGGGCAGGAGAGGTCTTCCAGTGCCCCTTCCTCCCTGGCACCCTGAGAGTTGCCCCCCTCCCCAATTGGAAGGCTTGGAAACGAGGGAGGTAGAAGAGTCTGCTGTCTCGGCAAAGACCCTCCAGTCCCCCAAATGGGAAGGACCTAAGCTCGGTCTAAGAAACCCGCCTTGGAAATTCTCTCCAAGCCTCTCCCCAGCTCTCGCCCTGGCCCCCGCCTCAATTCTTTCAGCACTCAGAGAGCGCCGGGCGCGTGGCCCCTCCTAGAGGGGGCGCTCCGAGGCGGCCGAAGCGCGGCTACCCGGACTGTCCACTCGGCGGTCAGGACCCTGGAGAGCGCCGTGTTTCCCCGGGGAGCCCCCACTACCTACGCCCCCAGAGGGAGGATTCCCGAGAAGCACGGGAGCGGCGGGGTTGGGGAGCCCTAGACGTGGCCCTCTATCTCCAGGACGCCCCCTCCTTACAACCCCCAACCCCGGTCGAGGGGCCCCCACTCACCCAGCGACGCGGAGACACCGACTGC